GGCGATATGTTTGGGAGGGGGGTGAAGAAATGTCTTTTGATTGGATACTCAAAAAGCATCTTTGAGGGGTATCTCAACAGTGTTTGGGTTACTGGTGTTAAGTTAGGCCTATGAATATGATGTATAACAGGTGTGAATGCTGTAGAACACTAGATAGCCCTGTCCACGTAGGATTATACGATTTTGCGGCCGCGTTTTTTCGTGTAATTCTGCAACATTTGCATAATTTTCTAATCCGCGTTTTTTCAGTTTTTCATTTTTCACAAAACCGCCTTGCCATGTGACTAAAGGGAAGTAATCAACGTAATACGGTCTCATTTAAGTGAAAAGTTGGTTATTTCCCTTGTTAGAAGATCTTGATGGTTAGGGCTTTTGTTCCTTGAGCAGGCTCTATTTTTCAATAGATCAAAAGTTGTTCTCATGTCTGCTGGTTTGACAGGTGTCCCTGGTTTTAGTGATGTGACAGCATCGAGGTCCAGATGTCCTTTTTTTTTTCTTTCTATTTTTCTTTCCTCTGTAGATCTGCGGCTGAAAGTTACAGAGATTATATTTTTGGGGGGGTGGGGTTCTGACTGATGTGTATTGTTTTCTTTCCAAATACTCAACAAACTGCTGATACTGATATGTTGTTTTCAATTTTCTGTACATAAAACATGAAAATTCTTCAGATACATGTCGCGAATGGTTTTACGGTAATTTGCATAATTTTTGCATAATTTAGCATTTTTCTTGCATAATTTGGCCATATAAATTAGCATAATTCTACGTGGACAGCAGCGCTATAGGACTAAAGATTAGTCAAGGTCAAGTGATCAGCTGCAAGAGATGTACTTGTTCATCGAAACACTAAAAGAAAGTCTCTCAGAATGTCTAATGTCATCCATATATGTGAGGCAGCATGGTGGAGTCAGGCTCTCGTCAAAATAATGAAATCGAAGAAAACAGCAGTTTTCTCCCTGCTTATCAAGTTTTATCAAGTTTTTGTTTTTTGGCTCAACACCTTTAATGTCCATTTACAAACACATTCCTTTGAGGATTTCACCGAAAACGTTGATTAAAGGCACAAAAATATAAATTTACAGTTTCCATTGACTCTCCAGCTTTGGAATTTACTAAGCTTTTGCGGCCATTTTCTAGCTAATTTTGCCTCTTAAATCAGGTGACCCCAAACTGGTTCAATCCAAAATATCTCCACTTCTATTGAAGATGGATGGGTAATTTTTTTCATTGAAAGCAAGACAAATGAACAAGCTTTAAGATGATACCAATAACTAAATATGCTGAAAAATTGACGAGAGCCTGATTCCACCATGCTGCCTCACATATATTATATATGCATTGACAGAGTTGCAATAGATGACAAGCAGTCGGGAGTGGTAGCATGGAAAGCCATGTGGCTGAGCGTTTTTCCCTCTGACTGTCACCAACAGTTGTTTCTTACCTGACATGTTAATACACATCAGTTCAGTGAGTCGGTCTTTCTGCCTTTTTACACCACTCATTCAACGCCTTTGTAGTCATCACAACATTCGTGGAATCCTTTACAAAACGGTCACATTTTGTCGCCTTATCGGTGAAAGAGCCCCAACCTCCTCCCCAAGGGAGGTCTCTAAAATTTCAGGCGAAGGAGACAGTTTCATCCTTTTCCCCGTTTGCACAGGTTCAAGTAAACACATGCTCCATGTGAACGCATGCTTAGGCTTAGGAGCCCTCCTGAGCACCGTGTGTTTAGACGGAGACTACTGTATACATGTATCTGCTGCTGCATGATTTTAAAATTTGTGTGGAAAGGGTGTGAGGTTGGTAGCTTTGCAGTCTATTTTTTGTATACTTGTGATTTTATATTGTTCTTCAGTTCTATTAAAAACGTATCCAGAGGTCTTGCTGGCTTTCTTTATAACTCTGTCAAATCAAAAACAGCAACAAGCAACCCCCACCTCCTTCAATCTCAATTTGTGTCTTGACTTCTATCCCCACCTTCAATCGCAAATGTCTTGATATTCTATTCAAGATAGAAAGGGGGCGTTTTTTCATCAAAAGTGAGACAAATTAACAACCTTTTTTTGTTTTTGTAAGGTTTTACAGCGCTCGCAACTGCATAAGGTCATATGAGTGCCAGAACAAGCTTTAAGATGATACCAATAACTCCATATGCTAAAAAATTGATGAGCACCTGGTTCCACCGCGTTGTGGCACAAATATGTTTACTGTATCCATGTATGTATTCTCTCTTTGAGAGTGGAATCATCTGCACATTTTATTAGTTTTGATGTTTTTCTTATTAACAGTACAGTTCTTCTTCTTCTTCTTCCTCGTTCTCGATGACAGCAGCTAGACAGTCAGTCCGATGTCGCGTACAAACTGTGTAGTTCGCTTCAACTCAGAAAGACTGCCATAGAGTTTTCTCTCACAGGGAGCCATATTCTGCCACGTCTGTGCGCGAAGGGTGGCGTAGCGCGGGCAGTGCTGAAGTATATGTTTGGCATCCTCTTGGTCGTGTCCACATTCACAGATCGCTGTTTCTCCCACTTTTAATTAGGTGGACATATGGTGTTTGAGTCTGTTGTGGCCACAACCGAGTCGAAAGATTGTGACCTGGTCTGCTCTATTTAGTATGTAGTAAGGGTCAGAACAGTACAGTGGTAGGTAGAGCTAAACAAAACAGGGGGATTACACAACTTTGGGGCGCTCCGGTGTTTTTGAGTAGAAAGTCGTGTTTTACACCATTTTATTTTACATATTGACGGCGACTGGTCCTGCTCTACAAAACCCAAACTGTAATGTTCTTGTTTATGTTCATGTTAATTAATCTTGAAACCATTATGTGGGGTTGGATTGTGTTGAAAGCAGACGAAAAATCAGCTAAAAGTTTATAGATGTTATCTAAGAATGTGAGAATGGCGTCCTCCTCGCCCCTCTTGGCGCAATAGGTAAACTGCATTTACTGTCTGGTATCCCCTAAAGGCTCTCACAACTTAACAATAATGCCTTAGGCCAGCCTGTTCTTTCCATTTTTCCGTTTCCATTCCCTGGGGACATACGGTGATGGATGCAGACTGTTAAGGTGTGTTCTGCTATCATTCTAATGTTCGGTTTCTTAGGGCTAAAGTTCTTGTCCTGATGTTGCAGCACCCTATCTGATAAAGACGGGAATGAAACTCTCTGTGGCCAGTTCAACTCTTGACCACTTGATTAGTAGTATGCGTCCAAGGTGTCTTAGTGTGTAGTATGCGTCCAAGGTGTCTTAGTGTGGTGGCTCACTGGAAATGATGGCATGCTATCTCTTTGACTGAGTTTGTGTCTGTATTTGATGTTCAAAGCTTTGCGCAATTGAAAATTTCCACTTCATATTTCTTAAATGTTAGTGATTGGACCATTACATTTAGGTACTGTGGCATTTTGGCGGGGAATAAGACAAGTTTACTAGATATTTTGCCCTCTGTAAATTGTGTAATTTTGTGAATTTTCTTAATTTTCACTTTTTTAGGGGGTTTAGTCTTGGATATTGGTTTCACTCTGATGTCTTTATTGACTGCCAGGTTCAAGAAACCGTACCCCTCCCCTGTCTGCTCTTGGCCTGACTTATCCACCTAGAGCTAGTGGGATGGAGCATGCCGTTCCCAGAAGGGACTCTCAGGATGACTTCTCTCTAGACTCTGAGCATCCTGGCCATTGGGTAGCTTCAACTGACGCTGCTCAAGAAAGAAGCATGCAGGTGGCTGCAGGAGGAGCACAGACTATGTCAGGAGGGATGCAGGAGGTTGGAGGAACACAAGCAGTTGGAGAAGGGATGCAGGTGGTGGCAGGAGGAGGGACACAAGTAGTTGGAGGAGGAATGCAGGTGGTGGCTGGAGGAGGGACACAAGAAGTTGGAGGAGGAACGCAGGTGGTGGCAGGAGGAGGGACACAAGTAGTTGGAGGAGGAATGCAGGTGGTGGCAGGAGGAGGGACACAAGTAGTTGGAGGAGGAACACGGGTGTTGGCAGGAGGAACGCAGGTGGTGGCAGGAGGAGGGACGCAGGTGGTGGCAGGAGGAGGGACACAAGTAGTTGGAGGAGGAACACAGGTGTTGGCAGGAGGAACGCAGGTGGTGGCAGGAGGAGGGACGCAGGTGGTGGCAGGAGGAGGGACACAAGTAGTTGGAGGAGGAACGCAGGTGGTGGCAGGAGGAGGGACACAAGTGGTTGGCGGAGGAACGCAGGTGGTGGCAGGAGGAACGCAGGTGGTGGTAGGAGGGGAAGGGATACAAGAGATGAGACCTCTTGGTGTGAGAAGGGAGGGCAGTGGAGTTGTAGAAAGTGGAGGGGGACAAGCAGTAACAATGAATGTGCCTAACACAAGGAACACTTTGTCTTCATTGAGACCAGAAAACCATGTATATGCAGAGATGCTAGATGAGAATGTGTTTTCCAGTTACCTCCCAGGACAGACTTCAAGGCCAGCAGCAGCCCCACAGCCGCTTAACATGTGAGAAAAGTTTTTTACTGTCAGTGTGTATGTCGTCTTTGTTTTCCAGCCCTACAAGTGGTTAGAGGCAACTGCGGGTACACCCTACTTCTTAAATCGCCCTCAGTTGCGTCTACCCATTTGTCTTGCTTTTCGTATAATGGTTATATTATTGTCAGTGTTCTTGTCTTTAACCCCTTCTTTGCCGGGGAGTATGAGCTCATACTGCCAGCTCTGATTTTCATCTAAGCTTGCTGGCCAGAGCAGCAGTCTCATCAGTTGGCGTCAGTGGACTCACTGTCTGGGTCTAGCCCAGTCATGACATATTTGCATCCCAAGCCTTCAATAGTTTCACTTTTTTTCCCCCTTTCTTATCTCCATATTCCCCTTTTTCGTCCATGATTTCAAACGACTTGCAAATTTAAGTCATAAAGTGAAATTCAATGCCTTTTTCTCGTCCTTTTGGTGTTTTATGTTTTACAGAATTCATCTATTATGTGTAAAACTAGACCTGTTTTTATTGATCGCTTGTGAAGGCTAGCAGTGAAGTAATAATAGCAAATCTGGTACTGATATGCACATTTTAAAAATCTGGAATACGAGTCCCCACTTTCCTTGTGGTTAAATCTTCGTGTAAAAGAATTAGAGCCAGCTGACTAGTGGGGATGCACAAGTAACTTCTTATAAGCAACCAGGAACAGCAAATTTTATCAACTTCCTTGACATCCATGGGACCGCAAAAAGTAAAAAATTGCACATTTTCGCGAAGTGTGTCCACCGTTTCTATCTCTTTTTTTTTTTTTCTCCTTATCTATGTTATTGTGCGTCTGAACATTTGCCTGCGCATTTCTCTATTTATTTGTCTGTTTCTTCATTTTCATATCACCAAGCTGTCATGTTTCACACTTGCACATATTGTCATTTATCTTTTCTGTTGTTGCTTTACATATATGAGTAATGGTTAGTCTATTCCGTTGTCTTTTTATCGTTTTATCTTTCTGTCTTCTCACTTAACCCCTGCCTGCTAACCATAAATCCTCCCCTCCCCTCCCCTCCCCTCCCCTCCCTTTACCCCGTGTGTGCTAGGAAAAATCGCCTATAGCTCACTTACTATGAGCACTATATACAGGGTGATCCCCAAAAAATTTGTACAACTTTAAAAAAAATTATTTTCCTCCACACTGAAGTTTTGCGTTTCAAATTTGTACAAAACATTTAGAAGTCAAAAGAAATTTGTCTGATATTCGTTTTAGATAAATCCGCAGAAGAGTTTTGATCTACCTTGCGCTATAAATTAAAAAACAACACATTTTCAGCATAACGCACAAGTTCACATTAGACTTACCACAAAAAATCCCAATGATTGGGCCATATTGCAAACTGCAGTAGTCTAACAGGCCAACAGAAGTTTGCAGATAATTGTTTTCAAGTTTCCCTTGCCTGCTGAGATCATAGTTAAGATTAGTAAAGAGCAGAGAGCTTTTTGTATTGAACATTTCCTCATCACCAACTCATTTCGTAAGTTTTGCACAAGGTATGGAAATAAAGTTAAGGTATTCTTTGATGTCAAGGGTGGAAAAGGTCTGTCAGTTAGGGCCTATAGAGAATCAGAACTAAAAATTCACTGACAAAACGACCACTTCAGGCCAAACATACACCATCCACATCCCTTTAAACGTCACCAAGGTGCAGAATTCAGTAGATGAGCCCCATGAGACGTCTGTCCATAGAGGATGTCTGCAGCGATGACTTTCCTCATCACAACAGTCCGCATTCTCAAGGCAGATCTTCATCGACGACTGTACCATTTTTCCGTTTGCGAAACCATCAGAGGATAGCAATGTGTTCATCATTCCTTGATCGTCTTGAAAAGCGTTAACATTTCCTGTATGACATTTGGTTCCTTGGCAAAGACTATAATATTCACCTTTCAGGTTATATCAACTTCTCAGATGTTCTCTATTTGGGCAACGTCACCCCCTCCCCCTCCTTTATTGTGTTTATAAACAGCTCCATACTGTAAGGTGAACAGTGTGTGTGGCTTTGAGTACTCGGGGTTGAGTGGATCCTTGTGTTTGGCCACCACTGAACATTACAAACGACGCGTTAAAATGTGCCGAGTCCAAAGGAGGACATATAGACGATTGGTTCTCGGAATTCCGGAACATAAAAAATGTTTTTTTCAACTCTGTAGGAGAAAAGAAATATTTTTAAAGGTTAGACAGAAGGAAAGATTACATTTTAAAAATAAAATGAAAGGGAAAAAAACCCCTATCATTTCATGACTTTCCTTACAAGATCTTTTAAATTGGTGGATTTTGCATTTATAGGTCGTTTTTATAGCGTCCGTTTTCGAAAATAACTTTCTTCTTTGTATGTCAAACGAATTCCTTTTGAATGATTTATACCTGTTCCAAATGACAATATTCTAGTACAAATTTTGTGCGAGATATTTAGAAAGAAAAAAAGTTGTACAGGTTTTTTTAATCACCCTGTATTTTTAAAAATATGTCAAATTAAACAGAAATTAACATACTATTCAAAGGAGAGACTTTCTTGAACTAAATTTATTTTGCCAAATGTAAATAAAACATTTTTTCTCCAAGTGGCTGGAAAAGGCAGTCTGGTCTTTTACATCTAAAAGAACAATATCACAACACTGTTATAAATCAGGTACAACGCATAAGCCCATATTCCACACAAAAGGCACACTCCAACTGGCTGGCTTTGTCTTTCACTGACAAAACACTACACACTTCTCTTTGTACTAGACGCCTTCATGTGGGATTCTCACACATAGCAGCCTAAGACTAGATGTGATCACATCAGCAATAGAACGAAGACGGGGGGAAATAACTCTCTTCATTTAAAACTGTAGAAGTGAAGAGATATGAACAAAAGAAAATGGCGGTTTTCAAGTGCATACTAGGTACATCCGCAGCCGACATGGCAACGAAGTATTCTTAGTATTAGGTTGTACCAGATAAGCCCATAGTGCAGGGAAGGGGTGTAAGAAAAACTCTCTCTTTTCTCTCTTGTCCTTTTTAACTCCCAGTGGAGCACAGGCCATCAATAGCATTACTCCAGCGAAGCCTGTCCTGAGCATCCTTTTTTATCTGTTTCCATGATGTCCCTGCTTTTTAAATTTCCGCTTGTACCGCTCGCCTCCATGTCATCTTTGGTCTTCCTTTCTTACGTTTTCCTTCTGGGTTCCATGTTAAAGCCTGTCTGATGATGCTTGTCGGGGGTCTCCTCAGGGTGTGTCCGATCCATTTCCATTTCTTCACCTGTATGTCTTCCTTTACTGGCCTTTGCCTTGTTCTTTCCCACAGTTAAGCATTAGTGACTCGATCATACCATTTGATCCCCACTATCCTTCGTGGGCATCCATTTACGAAGCTCTGCAGTTTCCTTACTGCTGAGAGTAAGAAAAACTACCTTCATATTTTTCCGTTTACACATAACTATCATCCTGGCAGGAATATCCCGCCCTCGTTGAGCCAGCCTCGTTGCCTCAACACAGAGGTCCCCGTGGCCATAGCTGAGCAGCAGCCCTCCTTCCAGAGCTTTTTTCGTTCCATGTTGGAGGGACCTCAGGCCATGACTCCGGTCCGAAATGTGCAGAACGGCGCGACTACATTGCCCGCGCAGCGGGACTCCAGACCATGGCCCTTTGACACTGGTGCTGTCCCAAGTCTTGGGCATTTTAATCAAAATTCATTGGCTGGTCAAGGTACTTGGTCCTGTGTGTTCCTTCTCGTGTGTTGGCAGTAAAAGTACTGTCCAAACTGTCCCAGACAGCCGCCCATTGTCGTGGTTGTCTTAGATAGGTGGACATTGTTCACTGTGTCATTACAATGTAAAAAAAAAAAAACGCATGGGGGGGAAAATGTTTAGTGGCCAATTGTGCAGGTGATTGTTTTATACAGGTGGCCATTGGAGCAGATTCTAATGTAATTGAAAGTAGTGGTTGTCGTTATGTTGTTGGACTGTGTCAGATAGCCCATTTACATCTTGATTTGTATAAATGTCTAAACCTGAAAATGTTCAAAATGAACAGAAGGCTTGATTTATTGGCGCAGATTTGTTATGTTTTCCCTGGTCTTCCGCCTCGTTTTTGACTGGGCATTTGCTAGTTTATTACCAGTGTTTGATTTCTTGACACATGAGGCAATTGTCATAAATGCAGTGTCATTAATCTTGGATATGTGCTGCTCACTGTGAGTGCAAGCCTGTGTATTCTGATGGAAAGTTTATGGGCGCATAGAGTGGCTATCATTCCACATATTAGTGTATCAGAATTTAGAAAAAATTGAAATCAAGTGTGTTATAGAGTTTCATGAGGCACATTGATTGGTCCTAGTCGCATTCGTCTTCTCAAAATAGGAACAAGTTTAGATAGATTTTAACCAATGTGCATCAACTCACTTGAGCCTGAGCTATGTTTCACCCAACAACCATTGCAGCCTGACGATTTGGGGGTATATTGAGTCTTTAACCACAAAAAGACCATGAAAGCTATCATAATTTTAAAAATACATCAAAAGAAAGAAAGAAATGCTCTCACAGAAATGGGAAACTGCATCTGATTTGTCCAAATATTTTTTATTTTATCAATATTTAGAAATGGCAATGTCTGAGGGTTAGACAATTTTTTTTTTTTCGCCCAATTTGTAATAAAATTAACTATCACAATGCGGGGTGACTGACTTGGTCCGTTACTGCTCATAAAGTATCACACATAACTCCACCAAATTTTAAGGAAACAAAGCGGGTGGGTCTGCTGTTGGTTTGCAGCTTCCTGTAGCTTGTAACCAAAGAACACCAGAGATGTCGATCGATAAAACGCATTCCGTAAATACACAGGATTAGGCCACAGGGCTGACGGCGCGTTCCGTAAATATTCGGGAATAGGCTCAAGCGAGTTAATATAGTGTCTTTAGCAAAATTAAACATGGTGCGTAAGCCGCCTCGCTGTCTTCTGAGAGTTTGGTTGCGGTGAAATTCAGATAGCTGTTTCTTTGCTCTGTCAGTTTAAAACACCAAATGCTGTACACCATGAAAAAATTCAGTCTCTCCTCGTTACAATGGTGTAAGTTGTTTGTATGTTTGTGTATTTGCCTTTGGAGCTGGAGAATCACGGTGGAAAGCGGGGCCCTTCGTGGTCGGAATATGAGGTCAGCCGGTTAAAAAATTTACACCCATGCATTTGAGTGCTTCGTGGAAATAATATTGATGATTAAGTACAGTCTTTTCATTGGCAGAGAACGATAGTGCTTTGAACTGGGTATCCTGTGGTATGTTTTTGGCCTTTGGGGTTTAAATACAAAGACTTTAAAAACAAGGTCAAAGTTTTCAAAGATAAATTTTATACATTTGTAAAATACTGGTTCAAAAACAGCACCAATAGAAATATCAGTTCATTTTCTATTAGAACAAAAGTCGTCGGCTTGGAATTATTTTGTATCGATCCTTCCACGAAAATCTGAAAGTATATAACCCCCCAACACGGGAAGCACTTTGTACATTACAGTATAGAGCAGTATTACTCGCTGCAAGGGCTGATACGATGCTAGCTCAGATAGCGCTCGGGTTTTAAATTTTCATGATTGAGACAACGACAGCTTTGGAAGTCACCAAACTTTGGCAGACATTTTTTTCCTAATTTTACCTCTAATACCATAGGACCACCACCCCCTTCAATCATAAGTATCTCAAGTACTATTCAAGATAGACAGGTATTTTTTTCATTCATACCAAGGCAAACAAACAGGCGTTAAGGTTATACCACTAATTCTATATGCCCCAAAATTCGACAAGCGCCTGATTCCACCGTGTCGTGACACACATTATGATTTGTGTGTGTATTTATATATATATAATATGTATGCAAAGTGGCTGTGAAAGAGATGCAGCATGTCATGAGAGTCCTTTCATAGCATGGTTTCTTTACACAGTTCCTTCTCTCTTTGATCAGATGTGTCCAATGGCTACTTCAACCTTTCACCGGAAGTGTTGCAGCGGTCCTTTAGTTTGTTCCTACAGCAGGCACAAATGTTGGCCGGACTTCAGCCCAGTCAGCCAAACCCTTTGGTGCCGAATGCTTCAGTTCCAAATGCTTCGGTGCCAAATGCTTCAGTCCTAAATGCCGGCGGACGAGTCCAGAACAGTGCAAGTCGGCTTAGCCACTGTGAGTTATACTATGGTCAACTCGTTGAGACAGTGCACTTTCATTCCTGATTTTTCTCTTCAGGAAGCAACATTTTGAGCTGAAAGAAAAAGATTTAAACAGAAACCCCAACTGAAAATGGAAGCAAACTTTTAAAGAGGTGGGCGCAAAAAGAAAGTGATGTGGCTGATCAGGGCGGGCAAGCATTTTGTTTGTGGGTTTCAAAATCAGGGTCGTAGAGATGAAAATCTTTAGGTGATGGGCTTTGCCTCTTTAGTCCATAGCCATTGAAACGCTTTTTTCCCGAGAACTGTATTTATGTAACAAATATGTGTGTTGGTTTTTACTATGGGGAGAAAATTGAGGCATCTGACCGACAATGGACACAAAATGTGAACGCAATCTGAGCTGGCTCACATGTTTCAGTTTTCACTTTCATCTCTTCATAACTATTGTCTTGAGTTACATCAGTGTCAGACTCTTTTTTCTTGATCACTTGCATCACAATAATCAACGTCTCTATCATCATCACAACCCTCTTTGAACCTGAGATGAGTTGAGAAAACCCATGTTTTTCTTACAGGCCATGCCCTTTGTTATTAGGTTTATTTACCCGTTACTGACACTACAAAATCAGACAAAATGTTTTGGCAAATTTAATTTGTTGTCATAGGAATGAAATGAACTTAACTGTATTTAGGAGCTGCATGTTTTTGCACTACTCTATATTGTAGTCGCCTTTCCTACTAACTGAAATATGGACTAATAGATGGTCCAGCATTTTGGGAGCAACATTTATCTATGTTTTTAAGTCTATTGTCGTGGCAGCAACAGTTGTTTAGGCTAGACTATCTAGCATCCTGGCAACTACAGTAGTTAAACTCATACTAGACTGTCTAGCATTTCAGCAGTTAAGCAGTACTTACTCAAGGGCTTACTGAACTTCTTTCTCTTCAGCGTCTGGAGGCTCAAACTTTTGCAGCATTGGACCTGAAACTTTTGTGAAATCATTACCAATCAAGTTCATCGGGTTCCTTGCCTCCCACCTGGACATCACAGAACACACAGGCTGGCGACAGTTGCTAGATCGGCGTGGCTGGAACTTCGATCAGATTTACAGATTTGGTAAGCGCAGGCATGAGAACGGGCCCTTTCACTCACTGTTGAATGAGGCAGACTTTCAGCTGTACACAGTCAAAGACCTGGAAGAAGATTTGCGAGTGCTTCCTCGTCTTGACGTGCTGATGGACTTTCAGAGGATGAAGGAGGAACACAACATGTTCATCTAATGGCCAGTGAAAGAAGACAGATATGGATATGATAAGGAACTCTTTCCATAACCAACAGCCAAACGAGAAACCTTTTACTACAAACCTAACCAATGCACAAGCTTCGACGGTGACCACTCATTTGTGTATGTGTGTGCGTTGGGTGTTTTTGTTTTCAGGTGTTTTTGACTCTTTCCACAGGCTGTACTTAATTATTTGAATTGGTATGGTCATGTAACAAGAGTGTGTGGCCTATCCAAGACCATTCTTTGGGGAACTGTATAGGGGAGGAGAAAGAGAGGAAGGCAAAAAGAGGTGGACCGACAACATTGCGGAATGGACAGGGAAATCCTTCGCCTAAACTCAGGCGCTCGCAAAAAAGCGGGAAAAGTGGAGACATCTGAGGAGGCTCTCTATCACGTAGTGCCCCTACGATCCTCGTGGATTATTACTTACTTACTACCCATTACGCCATCTGGCGTTTAGGGTAGCAACAAAGGATCTCCAACTCTGTCTGTTTTGGGCCATCTTGGTCAGCGTTCCCCACGAATGATTCCAGGACTTCATTTCAGACTCTACTGTGCGTCTCCAGGTCACTTTGGGTCTGCCCCTTTTGCGACGTCCTTCGGGTGTCCAGTGGAGGGCAGTCTTCACAATAGAGTGTGGTTCTCTTCTCAGAACATGTCCAATCCATCTCCATCTTCTCCTTTTTATTATGGTGGTCATGTCCTCTTGCCTACATTTAGGTAACAGATCTGCGTTGGAAATCTTGTCGGGCCAGAAGATTCTGAGGATTTGGCGTAAGCTGGTTGTATGAATAGAAGATAGCTTGGCACTGTCATGATCAGTCATCCTCCAGCATTCAGCTCCGTATAGGAGTGTGGATAGTACACAGCTGTTATACAGCTTTAACTTAGTTTGTATACTAAACTGTCCTGACTTCCAGATGTTGATCATGCTTCTGTGTACAGATCTTGCATTGCCGAGTCTGTTCATGATGTCTTCCTTTGTGCCGCCGTCAGTTTTGATTATGCTGCCTAGGTAGGTAAATGTGTCTGTTATAGGCAGGTCTGTGTTGTTCACCCTAATCAGCTTTGGGGAGCCTACATTCAGTGTCATCACTTCTGTCTTCTTCTGGTTTATTCTTAACCCAATCTGGCGTCCGTATTTGTGGAGTCGGTTTGTTTTTTCCTGCATGTGTTGGTTGGTATGGGAGAGTGGTGCAAGGTCGTCGGCAAAGTCAAGATCCTCGAGGGTGGAGAAGGGGGTCCACCTTATGCCTCTTGATGTATCCTCTCCTCGTGGATTATGGGATCAATTTTAAAAAATGAATTACTTAATTATTTCAAGAGAGGAGAAATTAAGTACAAGATGGCATAGCTTGAATGAGAGTAGCAAAGTAGTCACAAGTAGAACGTGTACTTTGTTGTATTTCACCATGAATGAAAATTGATTTTTCGTACTTGACAAAATCACAGAGAATGTAGATATTGTATTACACTTACTTGGCAATATCTCAGTATACTATGGAGCTATCCCAGTGTTGTTGTATTTTCCAATTTATGAAAAATTCATTAAGTTTGAACACATTACCACTGTCCCAAACTGATTAAAATGCTTGAAGACAATTAATTTCTGCGATTTTGCTAAAATCTGCACCAGATTTGAGAGGAAATATGTTTCATCATCTGGATACGATAATCTCTCATTCTCTGCTCAAATGTGAACTGGTCAGACGAGCACCGCTGCATCAGCCATGTCTTTTAGTAACCCCGAAAAGGCATTTTGCGTTTTAAAAATATGTTAAATTCAAGCCGCTAGAGAAGCTCCAAACCTGTAATTGAGGACAATAAAATTTAATTCCCGATCTACATCAAGTGCACCTTCTTAAAGAGTAATTTGGGGATGGTACAAAGAGTTCAAAGTGAAGGGGCGTCTCTCAGAAAGCCTTGGTGGGTGGTATGTCAGTCCTCTGGTGTGGTTTGCTTCTTCTTTCTTATCAAACATCTATCGTCCTTATCTCCCCTTCTTCTTTTTTATGTTTGGTACTCTTTTGTAACACCTCTAATCTTCTTGCGCTCATATGACCTTATGCAGTTGCGAGCGCCGTAAAACCTCTACCAAAAAACAAAACAAAATGCCATGAAAGAAGGGAGTAAGCAGTAGCGAAATGTGGAAACAGTTCACATGTCGCGACAATGCTGATCAAGTCAGCTCAAAGAGGTAGTTATGAATTAGACTTGTCAAAGTTCCCGACTTAGAAAATCTAAAGGTATGATTTGAAAATGAAGCCTTATCAGCTAATCACATTTCTGTCCGCCAAGAAATATCCCAGGCAATGCTTCAGAGAGAAAACCAGTGACTCATGGACTTTTAAGACAAGTTAGACAGAGAACTTTCTACAGTCTTTTTGCTTTAGTGATGAGGCTCATTTCTACATGACTAGAAAGGTTAGTTCTTGGAATTGTGTTCACTGGGCAACAGAAAGAGCAGATGAAGTGAATGAGGGAGACTTACATTATGAAAAGTCAATAGTGTCGGAAGTTTTAAGCTCATAAGGTGTCATAAGGCCATTTTGGTTCTGTGATGAAGACAGAGTCGCACAAATTTTCCCTTCAGATTTATTATTTGAATGGGTTAAATCAGTTCTGGCTATCCATGGCATTGTTCTGTGGATATGAAGCAAGAGGTCAACAATGGTCAATGCAGGATAAGGCAGTGTCTGAATGTGGCTGTAGGGAATTCTGGGGATATCGTTTTATCAATCATTTGACAAAGCCGTCATTGGCACCACGCGGGCCAGTTTGAACCCACTTTACTGTTTTTCTCTGGCGTTATCTCATAAACGAACTCTCAGCTGAAAGATTCCAAACCCTTTAGGAATTCAGAAGTATCAAGACAAAGGGCTTGTGAGAGCCACCACACCACAGCAGTTTCAGAACTCTACTCAATTTTTAGTCAGAAGAAGGGAAATGCTTTGTGCTTGATGAGAGCCATATGAAGCATCTTTTGCGAAGCTAACAGTTCTAACGTACCTTCATTTTTCATGTAATAATAATAGATTGTGTAACTGTCTGTTTGGAAGGTTCCTTCATGTTTCTACCAAAGGACTTTGCTGTTTGTTAAGCGGTTTTTGTTTTATTATTTTATTTTTTTGGTGGTCATCCCTGTACATCATATAGAACACCAGTTATAGTAACTGGACTCGTACAGATAAATGAGAGAAAAAAAGCACAAAAAACAGTCATGAACTGACGCAGGCACATTATCACCTCGCACAGCACTTAACAGCCATGCCTGCAGTTGAATAATCAGTGCTTCCAATCTTCCGTATTTTTACGGAAATCTTTACTTTCTGACTTGCTCTCCAATTATTGTCAAGTCCCTCCGTAAAAGAAAAGTGCGACAGAGTTGGGCTACCGGAATTTTGTAGCAAAAGATCTGTAATGCCTTGTATAAGTTCTGGATATTTGCGGTGATTCTCTCTGCAATAAGTTAATGTTGTAGAAAGCTGCCAGATTGTGCATTTCTTGCAAACAGCCATTATCCCGTTAGGCCCCTTTGCATTCAATGAGGATTGGTTGGAAATACATTTTTACCTGCGGATTGATCAAAACCTGGCTCACCATGTTTGCGAACTTTTTGTGCTAGTTTCCTCCTTTCTTTCATACACTGGTTCTTTCTGTCTATCTTCGGATTGTTGCCGCGGCTGGAAAGTCTGTGCGTTGATCAAATAAACTGACTTGTGATTTAAGACGAAAAATTACTATCAGAAAGAAACTTTGGTAAATTTGTCTAGATATAGAAAAATCGTCAGTACGATGATTCTACAGCACGGGTACGTGATAAGGGCCGTGATCCAAGAAATTTATGCTAAAACAATTATATAAAATACATCAGATTAATTCGATGTGGTGTTCCGGGGTTTTGACATGTGACATTAAGACGTGAAATGGAGGAAAATTAGGGTATACGCTGGGTAACTGTATTGTCAAGGTACATCTTTTTATTTTTCCCAGGTTTGCCTTCTGTCTATGGTGTGATAACAAATTATAGTAGCAATGGCAAGGGAAATGTCCTTTTAACCCTATCTGTACGCCTGGGGTCATTTTATGCCCCCGGGGTTGTATTTTTCACATCTTAGAATACTTCTAGTAAGAAGATCTCTTTGAAACTTTCAGTATTTCTCAAAAATCACTTTGACAGACTGCTATGCAAATCATACGGATGGGATTAATGAGTAATTTGCTCTTTGGAAAGTTGTGGCACAGAGTTCCCCACATCGTATGGATACGATAGTAAAACACGACATACGAATAGAGTTAAAAACTGCCAGCAATGGAAAGATATTGTTGGGGAAGAAATCGTACAAGACAAATCTTAGTGAAAAATAGGTGTTATGAGTTGTTAAGTCTTTTTTTAAAGTTCTAGCATGCTCCCAAATGCCAACAGCACGCTCTATGCGCTTTACGATCTATATTATTATTTTATCCCAGCAGGCTTGATAACTTTCTGAAACAATCTCAACTTCCTTGGCAGTAAACAGTGTAAGCTGCCATTTTTTATAGGCACTAAAACACTAACTAACTTACTATCACACAGACAAGATCATTCAGTGTCTATGGCCTGTTACCCATTCTCACCTAGGTGAAGTGATGAAAATTTGTTCTAAGTGCCTTTCCCAAGGACACAACATCGGGCCTGAGGCTCGAACCCCCAAACTTGCAGCCTCATGGTAAAGAGTCAGGTAGCCTAATTGACACCATATAAAATTGCATCGCTCAAGTTCTTCAGCTGTAGTGAGTGCTGAAGTTGAAGGTGTTGGCCCGTGGAGCGCTCTCTTGGAACCACTGTTGCCTTAATGAATAATATTTGGTGACAGAATTGATGACCGATATTGTGCAGGCCTTGTAGGGATCTGCCAGGCAGGTGCAGTAGAAACTGTGCTAACTGTGGAAGTGCCACAGAAGACTACACATTTGTCAACTGTATTTTGGAGCTGGCGTCCATGTGTATAAATGTTTTGTTGACACGGTTCATGATGGAAGAATTCTGTGAATGTCAAATTATTATTATTGTTCACTTTTTTTCTTTGTTATCCCATCTGCCTCTGCCGTACAGGTTTTTTTTTTAGATGTTTGTTTAAAAGATATTTGTCCACACATGCATACACTGAGCCCCAAGTACATTTTCATGTTGCTTTTTGTTATAGCATAATTGATAATCTCGTTTGATTTGCTTGATTCCTTTAAAGGAAAATACAATTTGTGAGGCAGCATGGTGAAATCAGGTGCTCGTCAAAATGATCCAAGTGAAGAAATGGGCATTTTTCTGCAGGTTTGTGAATTTTTATTGAATTTTTGTTTTTTTGGCTCAACCCCTTTCATGCCCATTAAAGAACACATCTCTGTGTGGATTTTACTGGAAAACTTTGATTAAAGGCACAAAAAATGTAATTTTTCAGTTTCCAGGGACTCTCAAGCTAAGGAAATAATTCATCTTTGGCG